CTTTCCAAATGGGTGGAAAAAAATCGCTGCGAGATTGCCCTCCATGATACGATACGTATTGCAATACTTGTGTCACAATTCAATTTTTTCAATACGATACAATTTAAGAAAGAAACTATTTATAAGAAAACATATTCAGATTTCAAAAAAGTAAAAGGTGGTGATACAATAGAGAGAAATACTACCAGGGGTATGTAATATAATGTTCGAGTACTAGCCCATGGGCTAGTGGCAGCATTACAGTTACTAGCCCCAAGTAAGAAGTTACTAGCCCAAATATAGGGACAAAAATTAGAATAAAACTATAATGTTGAAAAAAATTAATTGTAGAAAAAGTCAGCGTTCTAAGGTCATTCTTTTTTCATAATAAAGTTTAATTCTCATCATTAAAATTAAATCTTATAAAATTGATGATAATGAAAGAAAACAAGAGGCCCACGGGCCTTATAGGTCACCTGAGCATTATGCAACAACTTTCCAGTTACAGTGTATTGAATTTGATTCATGTTTTAAGCCAGATGCTATATGGCATTCACAATTTTGAAAGAGGCACCATTGATCATCATAACAATACACTTAACAGTTGCTTAGCTTGGTAACTGAATACCCATACGCAGGGTAGGGGAACAAAAATGCACTCCAACTAATCAGTAATATTCAGCAATAATCAGTAGTGCCCCTAACACTGTGACATAAACCCCTGACCCTAGGTCCAAACATTGCACAATTTTTTAAAAGGCACACTTAAAATTGCCTATCAAAAAAATAAATAAATGTTTTATAAATAAAAAGGAGCAGATTTCAAACAATAAATTCATTTTCAGTATATAAGTAGAGCCCCCACCCCCCACCCCTGACCCTGGTGCCTTAAAATACCCAATTCTGCAAGATTAGGGCCCTTGCTCATCATAACTATATAGGTAGTTCATCTACTTCATACCCTGAGACAGAGAAGAAAATTTTCAAAGATTTAATGAATTTTCACTATATAATCAATAGAACCCCACCCCAACACCAGAACCCTTGACCCTGGGAGCATAAAATTCACAATTTTGGCAGAGGCACTCTTGCTCATCATTACTATGCACTTAGTAAGTTTATTTAATAACTAGGAGCAGAGAAGAAGATTTTCAAAGAATTCATGTATTTTCACTATATAATCAATAAGTCCCCCCCCCCCCCCAACACCAGAACCCTTGACCCTGGGGCCATAAAATTCACAATTTTGGTAGAGGCACTCTTGCTTATCATAACTATGCACTTAGTTAGTTTATTCAATACCTAGGAGCAGAGAAGAAGATTTTCAAAGAATTCATGTATTTTCACTATATAATCAATAGAGCCCCCCCCCCCCCAACACCAGAACCCTTGACCCTGGGGCCATAAAATCCACAATTTTGGTAGAGGCACTCTTTCTCATCATAACTATGCACTTAGTTCATTTAATACCTAGGAGCAGAGAAGAAGATTTTCAAAGAATTCATGTATTTTCACTATATAATCAATAGAGCCTCTCCCCCCAACAACAGAACACTTGACCCTGGGGCCATAAAATTCACAATTTTGGTAGAGGCACTCTTGCTTATCATAACTATGCACTTCGTTAGTTTATTTAATACCTAGGAGCAGAGAAGAAGATTTTCAAATAATTCATGTATTTTCACTATATAATCAATAAGCCCCCCCCCCCCCAACACCAGAACCCTTGACCCTGGGGCCATAAAATTCACAATTTTGGTAGAGGCACTCTTTCTCATCATAAGTATGCACTTAGTTTATTTAATACCTAGGAGCAGAGAAGAAGATTTTCAAAGAATTCATGTAATTTCACTATATAATCAATAGAGCCTCTCCCCCCAACAACAGAACACTTGACCCTGGGGCCATAAAATTCACAATTTTGGTAGAGGCACTCTTGCTTATCATAACTATGCACTTCGTTAGTTTATTTAATACCTAGGAGCAGAGAAGAAGATTTTCAAAGAATTCATGTATTTTCACTATATAATCAATAGAGCCCCCCCCCCCAACACCAGAACCCTTGACCCTGGGGCCATAAAATTCACAATTTTAGTAGAGGCACTCTTGCTTATCATAACTATGCACTTAGTTAGTTTATTTAATACCTAGGAGCAGAGAAGAAGGTTTTCAAAGAATTCATGTATTTTCACTATATAATCAATAGTGCCCCCCTCCCCAACACCAGAACCCTTGACCCTGGGGCCATAAAATTCACAATTTTGGTAGAGGCACTCTTGCTCATCATAACTATGTACTTAATTGGTTTATTTAATACCCAGGAGCAGAGAAGAAGATTTTCAAAGAAATAATGCATTTTCACTGTATACTTATTAAGCCCCGCCCTAGCACTAGAACCCGTGACCCCAGGGCCATGAATTTCACAATTTTGGTAGAGGACTCAATGCTGATTACAATCATGCAAATAGTTTGACTGCTTGATGTCCAGGAGTAAAGAAGAAGATTTTTAAAGATTGCATTAATTTTAGTGGTTTTGGCCCCACCCCTCAGGCCCCAGGGGGGCAGGGATCATGAAATTCACAATTTTTGTTCCCCTTCACCCATAGATGCTTTGTGCAAAATTTGGCTGAAATTGGTTCAGTGGTTGCTGAGAAGAAGCTGAAAATGTTCAAATGTTAACACACGACGGACGACGCACGACGACGGACGAAAACGGATAGCAATAGGTCACCTGAGTTTACTCAGGTGACCTAATAAAAATGAATTTAAAAAAAATATCTGATGATCTTTCCTTTTCTTATCATTTGCACTAGCTAATTTAGAATGAAATTAAATTCCTTTTGTTTTCATATTAAATTATTAGATACACTAGAAATGTATTTTATGTGAATCACAAAGCACTCTTTGAGTTGATTGGGTGATTGTAAATAATTCAATGAGATATATGCCTTTATTTACAATAAACGGAGGAATGGAAGAAATTCGGATTACAAAAAAATGATTGTTTTTGGAAGTAAACAAGTCAAATATTACTGCAAAATGGAGAAAATTATTGAGATTTATTGACAGTAGGAGCATGTTACCTGGAAAATATTCACTGGTTGGGATTTTGATAGCAAAAAAAGGGAAAATACCGGTTGTGCTTTTCATGTATTACATGCAAAGTTATCATTTTTACTAGCCTGAATTTACAAATTTGTTAATTGCACATCTGTAACTACTTGTGGTTCTGTTGATTAAGAGCACTTTATTCGTATCATTAATAGTAGTGACAGCCTGCTCTGAAACTTTACCATCCCATTTTTCTCCCTTGTGTGTGTCAAACTATTAAAATAAGGTCGAACCCGACCTACTTCAAAGAGTTAACCAAACCCGATTATAAAAAACGTATCGAACTGAAAATCGAGATGGTGAATCGAACATTGAACCGAGCAATTATATCGAACAATATCTATATTTCGGTGAATCATTTCAGCCTTATAAACACGTAGAAGAGTGTCATGCTTTTGGACTCATTAATTTGATTGGTGAACGGGTGTGACGAAGATATTGTCACGTGTCGATAGTTGCCTTCTATATAAGGTAGTAAGTGGTCTCAACCTGATAAAGCTATGTAGGTAATCTGGTAAATAAAAGATTAATCTATTGTACTAGACCTGAAAAGTCCGGTGTTAGTGCAGTGAGCGTTGTGAAGCGATGCTCGTCACTGCGAGCTCTAATGACAAGGCCTGGGTGAAGAGAAAATCCGGAATACTGCACATTCATTTCATAGAATTTTTTCCGCAGTATTTGGACATCACCTCGACAAAAAAAGCTTATTAAAGCAACGTTCTCACAAGAGTAAGAGCAAAAGTTAAGCGAATTATAAACTTGCATGATTGAATGACATTGTTGCAGAAAAATAATCAATAAAATGGTTCTTCATTAAACTCAGCCCTGTTCAGGCTTCAGTTTGGTAAGCAACATGTATATGACTTTATATGACCTCAGAGTCTGAGACGCACCGAATGTCACATGCGGTTTGACAAGCCCAATCTAAATGAAAACTGGATAAGTATCTGTGCTCGCCCTAAGAGTTGCACCGTCAACATATTAGAATATCCTAAATGAAATATAAAGATAACAAACTGGAAGAGAATCCAATCCTGTTATGTTTATATACATAATAAAATATTGCTTAAATTAAGCTGATGATGCAGTCATTATGACATATTCAATTTGTCCCTTAAACATCCTTAATTATTGTATAATTAAAACCAGAGTTTTGTCAGACCCACAGAATGAAGTTAAATGTCATTTTCAAAATTCTCAAAGTCATCAATACAGGGTTTGAAATTTTAAACATATACTGTAATACAAGCACAATTAAAACAATAAACAAGCTTCATATATCAATACTACTTACAGCTAGCTTTCCCCTAAACAGGGAATCCAGTCCGAGAATGTCTACCATGCAACACCGTTGTAAATAATGCAAACCATGTCCTAAATTGAAAATTGTACAGACTATGAAGTCCATTAACTCATGATCAAGTGTCATAGTTATAATCCTTTTCAAAATACTGTATACAGTGGTATTTTCACACCGTGTTATTTTCGCTCTTCTGAACTTGTTGACAATTTTGCCCCATTTTTAATTCGCCCAAGAGCCATAGTTCTGTATAAGAAATTTTGAGGTGTAATTTAAATTTGCCCTTTTGAATTTGAATTTTAAATTCACCCAATCAAGGAGAGGGCGAAAGAGGCAGAAATAAAAAGGGGGCGAAAATTTCCTTGTATACCATGTATACAGTAGGCACTGCCACCACCAAGCTAGATCTGTCTTCACGCCTTTCTCAGTCAACTGGTTCTCTTTTCTCAAGACCAAATTATAAATTTGAGAGAAGGCTAATTTAAGCTACATACGGCAAAAGACATTTAATTAAAAAGTTAGAGTATAATAGGCTTTTGACGTGTCTGTTCAGAAATTGTCAGCATAAATTTATGACAATATGAAAAATTCATCATATCCCAATCAGATCTAATATTTCATTAGCAAATTAGTAGATGGAATGTAAGATAATTTTTTTGTTAATATGTAATGTAATATTGTCCTGGTTTTAGACTTCGCTAATGAAAGGATGACGAAAGCAAGACTAAACATTTTTTTTAATTAGTTGATCAATATTGATACGTTCAGTGATTAGTCGTGAAAAAAAGTATCTGTCATATATGTGCAAGTTTTGAAATGAAATGAAAATGTCTTTTAAAGTTTAAATTGACAAAACTGTAAAAAGACCACGACTTTAGCATTACACTTAACATAGATTTTTTCCAGTAAAAGCACAGTGGTCCACTGACTGACTTCAGAGAACAGGGGCTTGTCACGAAGAAATTACCTTCTTTTCATAAAGTTACTCCAACTATAAAAATACACCCTGTGTATTTTTATAGTAGGAGTAATTTTATTAAAAGAAAAATTTTTTGTGACAAGCCCCTGTGTTCAGAGTGAAGAATCTAATTAGTGATGCAGTCTTCCTTGGATTAATGTTTTGCATGTTAGTGCACTGGCACCTGAATTTTTATCAGTAAGTCGCTAAATAAGCTAAATATAAAAAATGCTACCCCCTCTATATATATAAATACAAAAAGTGTCACCGTGTGCAACACCATTTTGACCCCCTCCTTGATACAGGCTTCAATTTAACACATAAATCGGATATGCCAACTGGATTGTGTGTAGCACTGGGTTCAAATATGATATTTCTCACTATACATTTCTTCATAATGTTAAAATCCAACGCACGGATAATGATATCAACTAAAATTAATGCAAACCTTAAATTTCGTTCCAGGGCTCGATCGCCATCAGCTGACGTCACGGAAATTTAATCTCCATACCAAATGCTCTAATACATAAACTTTTTAATACAATAATTCTAAAATTATTTATTTGACAAACAAAAATCAGAAAAAATAAAATACAGAAAGATTATGTTGTTTTTTAACCCTTGATTTTATTTAACATGTTTTATTTATGTATGTATTAGTCTAAGAACATTTGGTGTGGAGATTAAATAAAAATTCAGGTGCGTGTGGTTAGTGTTACTGATTTAGTGCCATTTACCACCCTGTGACCTGAAAGTACAAGTCCTGTTGAGGGGGGGGGGGGATGATTAATATTGTTTAACATCCCTCTCGAGAACTTTTCACTCAGGTGGAGAGCTGCAAATTTTGTACTTTACTTGGCACTCGGGGCCATTGAGCAGGGATGCCATGGATCTTTTTCGTGTCAGCACCTACTGCTACACGGGACCTCGGTCTATACGGTCACATACATCCGAAGGACCCGTCTCCACGTCCCACAGTGGGACAGTTTGAATTGTATTTCATGTACTTCTGTTTCTTTTAAATTATTTGTTAACTCTCTCCTTTTCTCAAACACAATTTTTTCCACTAGTGTTCATTAATCAAAATAACGTATTACGTAAATATTATATGAATACTTACATGCTCATGATGCTGAGCAAAGACCTTTCATGATTTCCGGCATGCTGATGCGCGCGCATTAAAAAAATTCCATTCGGATGCGCGCGCATCCACCCGCGTCGGAAATATGCAGAGTGTGTTATGGCAGAGGGATAAAATTGTGTGACGACGTTACACATATTCACATGTTACTAACCTTCAGAGGACTTTCACCAAACTTCACCACGTGATTTAGTTCGACATTTTCTAACGAAATAGAGAATTTTTTACCGAGGACGTAAAAAAAGTCCTCGGAAGAAATTTACGTCCTCGGAGAAAAGGTGTTTTTTCATACCATAGTCCTCGGAGGATAGGTGAAACAAACTCACCCTGTGTGTGTGTGTGTGTGTGGGTGTGTGTGTGTGTGTGTGTGTGTGAGAGCTTGGTATACAATTTTCATTGTTCATTTATGTGAGTTTAATATGATTTATATGCAAATTGATATGGAGAGTATGCTTGCATATTATCATGAAAAGTAAAAGTTTCAAATTTGCTTTTTAAAGTCGAATTGTCGTATTAATTTAAAATGTAAAGACGAGAATAGTAAAACGGTGGTACGATCTAAAAATAAATACAAATCTGTAATGAGGACATAAGAAAGATTCCCATGTATACCGGAATTAAGCACTTTATAACAAACGCTTTTTTGACAAGGTCTTCATACTGACCAAAGAATCTGTTTTATATGTAAATACATGTAAATAGTGTAAGATGTGTAGTTTTTATATGAAATTTAGTGTACATTTTGTAGATTTATATGCATTGATGTATACAAAATATAGTTCGATATTCATAATAATATACGATTTGTAGTTTTATTTTGTAATATAGTGTACAGTGTGTAGTTTTGTATATATATGTATCATAGTGTACAATGTTTAGATTTATACACTCAGTATACACCCCAAAGAAAAAAAGAACAATTGTCAAATCGAGGCGGTCCTCAACTATAACAAATTATAAAATGAATCTTAACAGATAAGAATTAGTATTTATCATGTATATTAAACGAAAACAATGTTAATTTTTTTTACATTTAATACAGGCATCCAATATCATCGATGGTGTTCGGTACAAATGCTTTGTTTGTGAAACCTGCCATTTCATTGTCTCCAATGTTGGTTGTCGCCATTTTAAACAAATATGGGTGCAGTCAGATTAAAAAATCAACAGGTGACATGACCAACCCCTCCGTTAATCCCCTTAATTCGGCACAAGTTGAGGATCTGAAAGGAGTCATGTTTTC